TATGGTAAGAAGAGCGTACCAAGTTCTTAAGCATGGGAGGCGAAATCTCTTTTTCTTGCAATTCTGACACCGCACAACTTGCCCTCTATCGTTCCGTTGACATTGATGACACATATTGGACTCGAAATTTTCAGCATTATCCTAATTATCCCCAAAAAATATATAAAAAATTGGGGTGTAAGCTACGATTGATGAGCAAAGGAGACATTTTAGAGAGTTTTCATTAACCTGGCGGTGTTTATTGTCTTTGTTAACTGTTTTTCTACGCTTGTTGCTCGACTTGGTTGGTCCGTATCCGAGTCTTTTCCGCAATGGAAAGCTTGCTTCCAGAATCTTCGACTTGCTCAGTAATTGAGTCTGTGTTAACCCTCGTCTTAGAAGTGGCTCCGTTCGCTTCTTCAACCGTAACATTTTGATCGATTTCGTTATTTTGCTTCTCTTCGTCTTCCTTGGTAGTCTTTTTCCGAGCCATATATACCCCCTTTTTGCCTTTTCGCTTGGGTCTCTCATATTCGTCGTCGTCAGTCAGAGTGTCAACGTAAATCCCCATCTTCGTAGAAGCTCTCCGCTGCCTACACAAACCAGCGCGTCCGATCTCTTCTTCAGCCCTAGCACCTTCTTCCTCTGCAGAATCCATTTCGAAAAACAAAATCCTCACTCCTCGGCGCAACTCTTGGATCCCCAAATAGTACCTCGGAACCGTAGACACTGAAAGCGATTTTAATAGGGATTTTGGATCTACACTTTTACTTTCAAAATAAGTTTTAAAAGCCAAAATTTTAACCATCAGACTTTACTTTTTTTTTTACTTTTTTTTTTTTTTTTTTTTTTTTTTTTTTTTGTAACTACATTTCTTTTGATATTTTTAAAAGTCTGGTATACATGGCTTTTAAAACTTTTTCTTAAAAAGTTAAATTAAATTTTTTCTCTTTCTTTTTTTTTTTTTTCCATCCAATTAACTTTATTAAAAGACAGAATCGGCATCATTGTTTACAAGGGAATTGAGAAAACTAGGACAACAATGATATAAATAATAATTATTTGGACTTTGGACTGCTTTCCTCGCCAAGAGATCTGCACATCCATTCTGCTCTCGATGTCGAAAAGTGAACTTTATTGAGTTAAACATGTTCCTCCATTGCCAAATTTCTTCCATGTAGTGCTTTAGACGTAGATTAATTCCTCCCTCATTGATTAGATTGACAATGTTGGCATTGTCTCCTTCGAATTCTACATGTCTATATCCTAAAGCCCATGATGCCTGGATCGCCCATATTAATGCTGAACATTCGGCCTCTTCAATCGTTTGCCTCCCTTGGAATTTTCCCATACCGCAGTCTAGACATGTGCCATTCGAATCCCTGATTATCCTACCTAATCCAGATGATTGGTTGCCTTCATAATGTGATGCGTCAAAGTTACACTTCACGTATCCCCTCTCCGGCTTACACCATTTACTCGATCTTGAGCTACGTACTCCTTGTAGCTTTCCGTCATGTTGAGGTCCATGAGTCCTATCTTGACAGTCCAGCCATTCCTTTGTATCTATAAGCGCTTGGCCGACAATGTCCTCGCCTTTGGTGACTTTGTGGTTAAAAATCAAGTCGTTCCTTGTCTTCCAGATTCTCCACAATAACCAGAATGGAAGATAGCGGCATACTTTGTCAATGTGTTTGTTATCGTGGAGGTCAAGTAAGAATCTGATTTTTCCTTCAAATGGTTTATCCCTGTCCCATAGATCCTGCGTTGGGATACCAGCAGCTCTCCATATTGGTCTAATGGAGGGGCAAGAAAATAACGTGTGGTCGTTTGTTTCCAGCTCATTACAACATCTTGAACAATAGGGATTTACATTCATGTTCCGCCGTCGTAGATTTTCGGCAATGCCAATGGCTTTTGAAGCATATCGCCAAAGAAAATGCTTGAGCTTTGGAACAATATTCAGATTCCATATTTTTGTTGCGATATCCGGGTGCAATGCCAACGGTGCTTTGGGTTCATCATCCTCAATGCTCAAATTCATCGCTCTCCAATATCCCGATTTCACCGAGTATTGACCATTCTTTGTATAACACCACAAGTAGGAGTCCGGCGAATCTTTGTATGGAATAAAAATTTTTCGGATTAGATGATGGTCTTCAGGGTTAATCAAGTGAAGGAGCTTAAATTCATCCCATTGATGGTTCGTCTTATCAATTAGCTCTTCAACCTTGGTGTTTGGATCCGTTGATGTTAAAAGTCTTGGAGGACGTGGTGGGTTTGTAGGAAGCCATGCATCGTTCAGCTGAGTGGTTTTTCCATTGCCGACATTTCTTTGGATCCCACTTTCAAGTAATTCTCGACCAAATCTTAGTGAGTTCCACCCGTAGGAGGGCTGTGCTCCTCGAGTCGCCGTGAAGAATGTACCTTCTTTAAAGTATCTTGCCTTGAGGAGTCTGTAAATAAGGGAGTCTGGTCTTTGTATTATTTTCCAAGCTTGGTTGGCCAGCAAAGCTTTGTTAAAGAGGTGTAAATCACGGAATCCTAGACCTCCCACCTTTTTTGATGTGACAAGTTTTCTCCATGCTATCCAAGAGATTTTCTTTTTTTCTTGTGTTGATCCCCACCAAAATCTTGCAATCAAGCTATCCATTTCCGAACATAGTTCCTTTGGCAATTGGAAGCAGTTCATTGAGTACACGGGCATTGCATAGGCCACGGCTTTGATTAGTGTTTCTTTCCCCGCTGCGGATAAGAATTTAGTTTGCCAGCCTTCAATACGACTCCTAAGTTGCTCATGTATATATTGTAGCATTTCTTTCTTTTTTCCGGCAAATTGTTCCGGGAGTCCCAAATATTTCCCTCCACCGCCTATATTTGGTATTTGCAATGTACTCATTATACTCTCTCTTGTATGCTGATATACTCTTGACCCAAAAGTGATTGATGATTTATCAAAATTGATAATCTGACCGGATGCCTCCCCATATTCTTTAAAAATCCTTAGTAGATTGGAGCTATTTTTGTAGTCCGCTTTTAAGAAGAAGAGCGAGTCATCAGCAAAAAGAAGGTGGGAGACCGCAGGGCCACGGTTGCTAACACGAATAGCTTGTATACTTCCTTCTCTCACTGCCTGGGACATTAGTGAGCTAAGTACATCCGCACAGAGAATAAAAAGCGAAGGGGACAACGGATCCCCTTGTCGTAGTCCCCTTGATGGTTCAAACCTCCCATATGGGCTGCCATTAATCAATACAGAAAATGAGACTGAGCGAACACATTCCATGATCCACTGTATCCATTTTGGTGCAAAACCCTTTTTTAAGAGAACCTCCTCAAGAAATCTCCACTCTATACGATCGTAGGCCTTACTAATGTCTGTTTTTACCGACATATAAGAGTTTGCGCATCTTTTTCGGACCCGGAGAGAGTGTAACACCTCATGAGCGATCAACACATTATCCGTGATAAACCGACCCGGAATAAATGCTGCTTGGTTATCGGAGACCGTCATCGATAAGATACTTTTGAGCCTTTTGACTAAGATCTTTGAGACGATTTTATATATGACGTTGCATAAACTGATTGGCCGAAAATCTTTCATTGTTGAAGGTTGTTCATTCTTTGGAATTAGGCATAGATTCGTATGATTCCAGTCTCTGTTCATGATTCCTTTCTCAAAGAATTCTCTAACCTCTCCAACAATCGTAGGCCCTACAGTATCCCAATAATGTTGGAAGAAAGTTGCATTGAAACCATCAGGTCCAGGTGCTCGTGTGGCTCCGATTGAGAAAAGTGCTGTCCGTATTTCCTCTATAGTGACATCTCGTGTCAACGTTTTATTCATTTCCTCGGTGACCACAGGTTAAATGTTACGGAGTGCTCTAGACGTGTTCAATGGTTTATTGCTCGAGAAGACGTTAATCGATTTCGTGCAATCCTGTTTTTTGTGGATGCATGAAAAAATCGGGTGTTGCCATCTCCTTCGGTTAGCCATTGATTTCTACTTTTCAACTTCCAATAGGTTTCTTCTTCCCTATATGCCTGCAACAATTCTTTCTTCAAGTTTTGTATGTCGTCCCATGAAGTGGATGCGCTTGTGTTTGCTATATCTAATGCTTGAATTAGTTCTTGAATCCGAACCGCAGCATTAGTATTATGGGACCTTTTCCAAGCTGAGATATCCCTCCGACAAGACCGTATTCGTTCATATAATGATGCATTGGTACATCCCCAACTCTGGTTCCAACTCTGTTTTATGACTTCTTCCAATTCTGGTATTTTGCACAACCTTGTATCAAACTGAAATGGTCTGATCCCTTGCTCTGTTGTACGTTTGATCTTTATTATTGCAGGCCGGTGGTCAGACTCAATCATCTCCAAATACGTTACTTCAGAAGCAGGGAAGGTTGCTCTCCATTGATCATTGACCAATACACGATCAAGCCAACTTTCTACCAAATGGGAGCCACGTTTTCCAGCCCATGTCATATTGTTTCCTTGAAACGGAAGATCTGAAACCTTGCATGTGTTGACCATGTTTCTGAAATTAACAAGGCTCCAATTCTCTCTTGGTCTTCCTCCTCTTTTTTCATTTTTATGTAAGATTTCGTTGAAATCTCCACACATTAACCAAGGACCTCTTCGATTTAGAGAGATTCTTTCAAGCTTTTCCCATAGGATATGTCTCAGTTTGCGTTTTGGTTGCCCGTAAACACAAGAGAAGTAAAAGGAAACATCTTTATTACTTATTTTACAATCGATGATCCTTTGAGTTACATCATAAAAGCAAACTGAAATTGTCTTTTTCCACATTAAGGCTAAGCCACCACCAATACCCACAGGTGAAACACATTTTACAAACTCATAACCTAACTGAGCTGCAACATCTCAGACGACATCATCGGGATTCTTCGTTTCGATCAAAAAGAGTAAGTCCGGGGAATAAGTTGCCTTGATTCCCTTGAGGCGTCGAACTACCAGGGACCCTTTTAAGCCCCGGCAGTTCCAAAAGGCTGTATTCATTGCGGCTCCGGTGGCTTATGGCCCACCGTACCATCACCTTTGGGGTTGGGGTTAGTCGGAATCTCTTGCTCCGTAAGTCTTGACGATTGCTCCGGTGGAGTTGTGTGCATTGTAAACCAGTTGCGAACTTCTATTATCTCTGATTCCTTTCGGTTGCGTTTGGAGAAGCATTGTTGTGTGTCTTCTACAGCATAGGCCTGTCTCATCTCACAGCAAATCAAAGGAAAAGCAGCAGTGAAGTTAGTTGATGATGAATCCTCTGTTTTCCTCTTCTTTGATGCAGACGGATTTGCTTCTTGCTGTCCCGGCTCCTCTATCTTCTTGGTCTCCGGTGTCTGCGGGTCGTCAACCGGCGCTTCTGGGTTGTAGTCTGGACCTTCATCATCATCTTCTGGATCCGGTGGTAGAGGCGGGTTGTTTCCCAGAGGACAGTTAGCAGCATCGTGAGTCATCATTCCACAAATTGAGCAAAAGTTCCTGAGTTTCTCATATCTGAGTCTCAACACACATTGTTGATTCCCAAATTGGAATTTCCTCTGGAATCGGAGCGGTGTATCAATGTTACAGAGGAGGCGCACCCGTACATACTCTACCATCACTGAACCATCGCCTCCATAATCTGTTTCCATAAAGTGGCCAAGATTTTCTCCGATATGTGTGACCATTCGTGTGGTAAGGAAGTGCAGGGGAATGCCCCTGACTTGAACCCAGAAAGGGATATGCTTCAGGTCTTCATCGGTTTGATTTGGATTCCACCTTTCGGTAACACACATCCAATCATTGAAAGACCACGGTCCTCGACGTAAAATTGAAGCCAATGATTCTTCGGATTGAAATAAGAATTGGATCTTCTTATTCTCAAGGATTCGACCGGTGACTTCGTCACTGACTCCCCATAGACGCGGGAGAGTTGACAGCATTGCTCGCAGGTTTTGTTTGCGAGGGTTAACCGGTTTTGTCACCAAACTAAACCTTGTTTCATTGATTGCTTCTTCACACAATTCAACAGGTAGATTGATCGTCTCATCTTCGATTCCCAGTGCAATCTCTTGCATTTGTCGTCGGATCTTGTCCGCTATTATCAATATGAACAAAGGAAATGCTTTCGTAATTTCACTCTGATCAACCCAAGTTTTCCAGAGACAAACACAGGGTTTAAATAGATATTCTGGTCGGACGGTTAATTCAATAACCGAAAAGCAGTTATCTTCCCCTGAAAAAATCGCCGGTAACCGGCGACAGTTGCCCTCCGCTGCGAACAGATGCGAAGAAGAAGAGAAGAGTTGTGTCGCACAGAGAATCGCTTTTTCTCTCATTACTCAAAACTATAAATTTTTTCTCTTTCTTATCTTCTATTGTTCTTATTTTCTCCATTAATATTAAAAATTATTTTCTAATCTATGTATAGTTTATTACAAATATATATTATATTAACAAATAATCATTATTTTTTCTGATTCTTTTAAGATCCGTTTTTCATAATTTTCGGTGAGATTTACTATTTTTCGAAAACCATCATCAATTATATCAATATTAAAATTTATCTTTTACAGCTTTTTATTACCAATCAGAATTTTATAAGTTTTAACAGTCAAAGTCTCTACAGATAAAGTCTCGACAGCCAAATTCTCTACGGCCAAAATTTTTAAAAACAAAGTCTCAACAGCCAAAAGTAACCGTTGTCACCAAGCTTCTTCTCCTTGTACGGAGGGGGGAATTAGATTAGAGTCCCTACTCGACATTGTTTCATCTTCCCCAAATTCCCAATACTTTTTAACTTCCAAAAAAAAAACGTATGTTTGGAGACGGAGATGGGATTTTAATCTCTCTAGCCCCTTTGGGGTGAATCAATTTTTGGAAAACCCCTCTTTATTCTCACTACCCCCTCTCCTTCCCAATTTTTCCATAAACCAACTTTACCCCTTATCCCTTTAATTCTACATTTAATTTAATACCAACACATTTTTTATTCAACCAATCAAAAACTTTCTCTCTCTTCTCTCATTAAAAAAACAAACCTATCAAATGTCTCACCTTTTACGACATTAAACCTACGAGACTTTCTTCTCTTCTTCTTCTTCTTCTTTTTCTTCTTCTTCTTCTTCTTCAACAGCTCCGACGTTGCAGCTCCGACGTTGCAGCTCCGGCGTTGCAGCTCCGGCGTTCTTCTTCTTCTTCTTCTCCATCTACCATTGAAGCTCACCATTAAAGCTTGCATCTCCAAAGACATATCTCTTCTCTTCTTCTTCTTCTATTCCCACCATACTGTAAGGTAAGTATACTTGTTTTCTTAATGTAGTATGATTAAGTTGAATTCGTAGCTTGAATAGGGTTATTTGTTGAAATATTTTAGGATTGCAGATTTGGGACAACTGAAACCACTGGGTACAACTAAGTAGAATATTTACGGAAACCCTAAGTTTGGTGCAACTGGGACAAATGTGTATAACTATGTTGATGGTCTGCTACGAAAGTTATGAAATTATAGGCCGTTTTTTCTCTCTGTTTTTTTCAGGGACAATGAAAAGGAATTCAGTCATACTCCCGATCTCCGGGCACATGATTTGTGCTCAAAGTATTATTGGATCGAGCTTTAGGTTTTGGCGTATACGAGGACAATTTATCCGGTTCCCCATAATAGTCAATGTGTTCTTCCTGAGGAGATAATGCAACTGTTTGCATATCCTCCAGATTATGAGGTAAAACAAGGAAGAAGACAAGAAACAAGATTCCCCTCCGTCGGAGAACATAGAGGAAGAGGACGTAAGAAGAGGTCGCATGGATCGAGCGGTTTGGGCGTTGACGGAGACGATGGAGACGATGATGGAGACGATGCGGGGGACCAAGGTTGATTTCTCATTGCTATTTATTAGGTCAATTTAAGAAACGATGTTGTTTATATTGGTTTTGTTTGTGAAACTTATATGTTCTGTGTTGTACAACTAAGTTTTAGCATGTACAACTATGTTTGATTTTCTTCTCGTATTTGTGCAAATTTTGTCAGTCTGGGTACAACTAAGTACCACATGTACAACTAAGGTCTAATGCCTTAGCCAATTTTCAGAATTTTATATAATATGAAAATTTAAAACCAAATTAAAAAAAACTTAAAAAATGCATACACGATGGCAATGAAACTACACAACAAGTTTTTGACAAAATATTTCATATTTTTAAAAAATACTGAAATTTTTACTCAAAATCCCACATTCATACACTAACAACCTTATACTTTCATGGTTACTTTGTAGATTTGAACTAAAATTTTATAAATTTTAGAAATACTTGTATTTTGATAAATATAAATGCACAGATACAAAGTAATGGTATTTTTATGAGGCAATACCATCGGTTCCACCAACAAAAATTAAATTAGAGTTGATAACAACTAGATTTACTAAAATCTCTATATTGTACACCTATGAGCAAAAATGTGCAACCGAGTACAACTGTACAACTATGAACAAATTTGAGCTATTATTTAATAATTGTTTTCAAAATAACGGCGCCAGGTATGCCATTTGTCAGATTTTTTTTCAAAATAACGGCGCCAGGTATGCCAAAATATCAACTAGATTCACTTTTTTTTTCCAAAACCCTTATAAACCTACATATTTGTCAGATTTTTTGATTAATTTAGATTTTTTTTTTTTTGGTTCAAAACCTCTTAGATTATATTCAATACATAGATTCATACATAAAAATATTAAGATTCAGATTAAAAAATTCATACATAATTAGATACAGATTCAATGATTCATACATAATCAAAAAACATAAACCCAGAAACATAGTTGTACATGATCGTACCAGTTGTACCTAAACGTTTAGATTTATACATCAAAATCAGAAACCAAAATACAAGCCGAACTCAATTGTATCTAATAACCCAACCACCAACATTTCTTCATAATCTTTTCATGTTCCCTCGCCTTCTCTTGCTCCATCTCCTTCGCCTTCTCTTGCTCCAATTTCCTCACCTTCTCTTGCTCCGATTCTCTCGCCTTCTCTTGTTCCAAGGAGAAGATAATCTTTCCCTTCTAGTACTATATCCTTCTCCTCTAATAAATCATTGTGATTAGTACCTACAACAACACATGATATTCAATATCAAACATTCAAAGGATAAACAATCTCATAATCTTTAGTTTTTAACTCATTTTATAAATCATCTATACGGAACAAATTCATCAAATCCAAATTATAATCATACAACTAGTCACAATGGGTATTAACAGAGACAATTTCAAATCCGAATTGTAATTCAAATCCAAATTGTAAACATTAAATCCGAATTATAATCATAAAAAAAAAATTCAATCAATCTATTTCAAACAAAATCAAACCTTAATTAAACCCAACACAACACAATCAATCGAACCCTATTAAACCCTCAAAGAAAAAAAAAATACCAAATTCAATCGAAAACCAATCCATAATCAATCTGTTTCAAACAAATCCAAACCTTAATTAAACCCAACACAATCAATCGAACCCTATTAAACCTTCAAAGAAAAATCAAACCCTAATCAAACCAATTAAACAATCAATCGAAAAAAATGGATCAAACAAGAGAAATCTTACAAAGAGAAGACATAGATGATTTCTCACGGCGGATTCCTCGGATTCACGGCAGGATTTCTCACGAAGAAGAAGAAAGAGAATGGATCTTTGGATCGATAGAAACAAGAGAGGGAAGAAGAAGAAAACGAAAGAGTATCGACAGAATTGAAAGAAGAGAGAAGAAGAAGACGAAAAGAGATCGAAAGCTTTGTCTTTGTCGTATTGTCGACTCTAGTCTCCGGTCTCCAATAGAGAGAAGATGAAGAAGATGAAAGAGTGTCGTGGAGAGAAGAAAAAAATTAGAGTTTTTAGGTTTCAAAATTGGGGATAAAAAATCCGAAACTGATATGGATATAGATCCAAAATAAAGTTGGGTCAGTAAATAAGTCGAAAAGTTCAGTTTTATTTGTCTTTTACTATTTTTCTAAATAAAAATAATTAAGTAAACATATGTTTTTTATATTGGGGGCTAAGTAGAGAATGATTCCAGAACAGGGGCTGCCGAGATTAAAATCCACGGAGATGTCTCGTAATTGGATTTTTATGATCAAAGTAGGGTGATTTCTCATTCTAATCTCAAGAGTTTACACGAATTGCTTCTTCTCTCAAAACACGTGTTCTTCAAAATTGCTCATACCATTCTCGATTTCCACAAAAAGATACTTGATAATAAATTACTATATCAGTCATGAAATTGTTTCTGTTTTTTGGAATTTTAATTGCGTTTCATTGGAATCTCTTGCCGTTATCTTCTACTTATGAGGTAAGTAAGCGATGATCGTAATTTCTGATTTCGGATTCCATTTTCATAGCGTTTCAAGGTTGTAGCGATTGATGATGAAAAACGGAAATCAGATGGAGAATTGAATTTGATGTGAATTTTGGTGATCTTATGATGTGATGATATAAATGAATCATGTTGTTTTCTTGGATTTTGTTGTTTCTATATAAGAAATTAAAAAGACTCACTTATGAATTTCTTTTTAAAGGGCAAGCTGGATGAGACATGCAACACTGCAAATTTCATGGACTAATGGGACTTTTTCTCTGCAAGTTTATGAGTTTGAGAGTTGGTGAATCAGCAGCTTTGTCACAGGACCTATTTTTGTTCTTCTTTTGCTTATTATGACATTGTCTCTTTCTTTCTCTCTTCGCATATGTTGTTGTCTATGGTAGTTTCATTGAGATTAAACATAGAGAACATTATTGGTAATCTTTGAAATCAAACATTTTGCTAAGTTTGGTAGAAGGCAATGAGCATAAAAGAATGTGCAGCAACAAGAAATATTTACACAGCTATGTATGTCCATTCATCTTCTTCTTCCTTTTTCCCAAAAAACAGTGAACGTTTTCCAGAGTTTTGATGAAGGATGTATGAGATGTTTATAGGGACGATACAGCCTGGGGATATTTTGTAAAAAAAGGCTTGAGTTCTGATTGAACATCTTTGTCATCTCACCTTTGCCATAACAGGTGCGCTTGCATGGCAGGTCAGAAAAATCCTTAATAAAAAAAAAAAAAAAAACCAACCAGCTTTACATTCAACTGTAATTTCTGAACTGGAATTTGGAATTAATGGCGGTTGATTTTCTTTGTTGTTGGGTTTCGGGTTTCGTAGACTCTTTAAATTTTGGCTGGTGAAAAAAGATCTCACTCTCTTTTCAAGATTATATTCTATGTTCTGATGATGATTTGTGTTTATTTGAATCGAAATTGATGCAGTGTGCTTAGATGGGACACTACCTGGCTAAACAAGAAGATGAAAAGGAAGCGGTATACGGAGGCGCTAGAGGAGCGGGTTATTTCACTGATTGCGTCATTATTTGGTAAGAAGGCAAGTCATATGTTCAGGTAAAAGTAATGTGGAGAATTAATTTGAGTAGATTGATCGGGGCATGGAACTATACATGAGGTAATAGAACTGTACTCTTTCTTTTCAATAAAGTACTATATTTTATATCACAACCTTTGAAAACTTGAAATTCAATGATTGGAGGAATATATTATGTGGTTTTGACAAAGAAGGACAATAATATGTGACAAAGAAGGAGAAGGAGATATACCTACAAGAAGCAGATGGATTATATGATGATGAGTAACGAAGAAGCCATGAGTCCAGAAGAAAAAAAGAAGAAGAACTCTTCAAATTTCCTAAACGGAAAGCCCACAAACTGCTAAAAACGAAAGATTCAACTGCAAAGAAGAAGACTCGAGTCATCTGCAGAAAAGGTGAGATATATAATGTTTCTTGGTTTGGCTTTTCACCAATCGAGTTTTCAGATTACTTATGAATTTGTTTCTCAATTTACTTTGTTTCTTAATTTACTTATGAATTTTCAGATTTGCGATGAGATTAGATTACTTATTGTTTTGATGGTGAATCGTTTGGCAACAAAAGTAGATATTATTGGATTTGTGATTGTGACACTAATGGTGGATTCTGTGACAACTAAGATGAAGCTCATCATCCTTACGCGTTCGGGACCGAAAAATGTAGCTTCTCTTAGTTGGAGAGACCTCATCAGCTCCAGTTGGTAAGTGCTCTGTTTTTTTCCTAAAGAGATTAGTTTGTTCTTTGATTTTGCAAATTTTAAAGTGAGTTTGGATCTCTCATCAACTTAAATATGGAGAACGACCATTGCAGCAAAACCCTGTTTTTCTTCTTTGGATCTAAAAGGATCGCCAAAATTGATTTTTTGGTGAAGTTTGAGCTGTTGTTTTAGTCATTTCTCTTAATTACAGAGACCTTTTCCTTAATAGTAATCTCCGACATTTCATGTTGTTTTTAGGAGAAAGTTATGTTTTTTTTTTTTTAAGAATCCATATGTAGCTAAGTTGGGTCATGTTATATTATTGCTTCTAACGACATGATCTACTTAGCCTTATTATGTCTTCTCATTGTTTAGCTCTAATGATTGCTACTCAATTCTTCCTTGATTAAGACCAATGAACAATCAAAACTTTGCAAAGCATTATGCTTAATTAACCTTATATGGTGTCTGGAGCTAATCGTGTGATGTGTAGTATCACGGAGAGGTTACTATGATAACTTTCTATTTCACAGAATCATCAAGGTCTGCAATCCTATTTTCCAGTTTACTTTTCGTTTGTACTGAGATCAGCACCTGTGATGAAGTTCTAAGGAAATTGTTGCATTTCTATTGATTTGTTTCAGGATTTCATTGTGCAAGGTGGAGATCCTACAGGAACTTGAAAAGGTGGTGAATCCATGGATGTGTATATTTGGGAACTGGTTGTGGAAAGACTCACAGCTCAGTGATGGTTATATATGAGCTCGGTCATTTGGTTCTTAGTCCAAAGAAAAGTGTTTGTATATTTCTTGCTCCCACCGTGGCTTTGGTGAACAGGTGAAAGATTATTCGTCTTGATTATGCATCGGTGTTTACTTGAGCTAATTTATTGCGGATTGATTAGTTTTTTTTCTTCAAGTTCTAACTGTCTTGAGTTTGTTGTTGTTTACAGCAAGCCAAGGTCATAGCTGAGTCTATCAACTTCAAAGTTACGGTACATTGTGGAGGCAAGAGAATTATGATATAGCTAAGCTCTGATCAAGTTGTATTTCGTGGGGAGACAATCGACCTCTGATTATTTAGCACCATTGTGGAGTGACTAAATTCATTGCAAACAAATTTACCTTCTTACTTTACGTTTGATTACTCAAGGTTGAAAGCCTTGGTAGTTTGCTTTCATGGTTATTTTTTTATCCTTCTTAAAACAATTGAATCTTAAAACAGGAATTTTCAAAATTTCAAATGCAAGATTGATCAAATTTCTGTAGACAACAACTTCCATCACTATTCTAACCGACTAACATAATTTAATAACCCAGAGGTTTTAGTCAAATATAGTGCTTCACTTATTTTCTTTTACAGCGGTGTAATCAAAATTCACAAACTTATGTGGCTTATGGTTTGTTCAAACACGTAAGATTTTACTAACAATCTTTTTGAAATTTGTTTCATGCAATCATCAACTCTATGAACCGTTGCATATTGCATTATTCATTTAAGAAAGAGAATAAAGAAATATAGTTACTACGTGAAAACGTCCAAGACAATACTAATAATCAATTCCAAGGTTTTCATGGTATCAGATTCAAACGACAGCGGATATGGAAAAGGAGCAAGAGAGAATAGAGATTTGGTATGTGTTAGAAAGATTGCACAACCGATGTGAGAAGCAAAGGAGCTGTTCAGCTGTTGGTGTGGGGTTAGTAAGATTAGGCCAATTCTGTATATGTAGCAAGGTCTTCAATTTTCAAAATTCTTAAACCTTTTCGGCTAAAAAAAGACCAATGGTCTTTATGATCGCGTTTCCAATGGGAACTTCAACGCGGTAATACCATACGCAGCTTGATGTTGTGAGTCACAAGACTCACAAAGATTGGATATGAACAAATGACCAAGTTTAGATGTTAAAAAAGAAAGGACAAATATATTAGATGTGTTACATTACATTTGTGAAATCCAACATATCTATATATTGGTGATTTTTTTTTATGTCTTTGATATAGTCCAAAAAAGAGCACTAATAAACTTTTAACAAAATACTACCTCTATTATATTATGTAAATTGTTTTAGGAGTTTTTTTAAAATGTCTCATTTTATTCGTTTTTTTTTTGCAAATTCCTATCCAGAATGTAGAAGTTTCTATAAATTTATTTTTTGCAGTATCTTTTGTGATTGGTTAAAATAATTTTAATGAATTATTAAATAATATAATTCTTTTATAATAAAAGTAAATACATTTATGATTTCTTAATCTATGCATTTTTAACGAGACCAATATACATATTGGAATAGATGAAGTAATATTTAAAGTTCTGGAACATTAAGAAACCTTTTTGATTAAAAAGGAATACATGGAAGAAAGGATACTGTCAGACCCTGAGGGCCCTGAAATTTATTTCACACTTTTTCAAATTAAACCATTCACAACTCAGACACCTGCAGGACGGTAGCTAATTCATAGGTTACAACGAAGTTATTAGGATAAAAGTAAAGTAGTTTTAGAGTTGGATGCCACCAAATGATTTATTTGGCATTTGATTTCCTATTCGTATGTGTTTTTCTGATAAATCTCATGTAAAATCATCTTTTTTTTTGTGTGTTGCAGATGAAATTGCTCTCAAATTTGAAGAATCCTTATATTGGACATCAGTGTCCATTTTCTATGAAAAAATTTATAATGATTTTCATCAGTTTTCAAAGATTTCTTTTTCTTTTCACAAGACAATAACGCCTGCATTTTCACTGCTTACTGTGAGGGAGGTAACATGTCAGTTATTCCTTGGACTATGTATCTATGAATTATAATAATCTTTCTCTATGGGGCTCAGCCTAAAGCAAAATCCACGTCTTGGACTACTGAATCATACAAATATTTTTTTTCTCCAAATCAGGGCTAATGCTATTAAGAAAGCGAGAGGAAAGTTATTTCCAGAGCTAAGGTAGTGCATATATTTTTTCCTATTGGGGCTTTATGAGGGAAGAGTGTATGTGGAACTGGTAAATGCATAGATTCATGGAGAAGTGTTTCTTTTGTCATGATAATGATGATGATGAATGGTTGTTGGTGGAGAAGGAAGAAGATGCAACTTTTTCAGTTTTCCTTATTACAATCTTACATATAAATATTGTACAAAAAAAAAACAAATATAACGTTAGTGTACATTTAAACAAAACTTACAATAATATATAACAAATAAGAAACTAAATTAACATAATAAATAAAAGTTACATTTACAAAAATACGTATAAAAAAATCTCCGCATCATATTGTGGCATATATTAATTTTATAATTTACTAGATTTAGGACCCGCGTATACGTGGGTTTAAAATAAAAAAATTTATAACTCGTGTAAGAAAAAAAAAATTAATGCTCACGTACGTCGGTTTATAACTAAAATTTTTATAATCCGTAAAAAAACAAAATTAGATATTCTGTAAAATATTTATAAATAACTTAATTAAAATTTTCTCTTCGTTTATTAATTATTTTAATATATTTTAATTATATAGGTTTTTATAATCAATTTTTTTTTTGAACAGGGGTTTTTATAATCAATCATGTTTTATAATCAATCTTTACGCATCAACCTCCTGAACGTTGGCAAAAGAATTTAAATTTAAAAATTTTCTTAACATTATCTTTTTAGACTTTTAAAATTATTTAATTTATAATTTTCTTAACATTATCTTTTTACATTTTTAAATTTTAATATTTTCTCATAATTATCTTTTTACATATTTAAAATTGTTAAAAATAAATACTTTTTGACACGTGTCAAAGTCTATAACCGTTAGATATAACACATGTCGCGATCCCGTGAGTTAGTAACTTCGAAAACCCAACTTTATATAATAAGATTCTTGGACTTCAAATAAAATTCATAATTATACGATATAAACCGCTAATGGTACAAAGAAATATACATACATGTAATACTTATATTATTTGCTTAATTGTATGGGTTTAAAGTTCATGTGTAATCTAGAGAAGTAGAAAACAAAAAATAAAAAAAAATTAAATTAAGAAAAAAAAAAAACAATGCATGTCATAAATTGGAAATAAAATGAAACAAAACATATCCGCGCGTAACGCGGAATTAGCCCTAGTCAATACAATAAAAGATCAGTGAGTTTCTCTCATGTGATGACACCTCAGCATTTGTACTGAAGCAGGAGGTGACACATCAGTAAAAATAGGGAGTCAATCAGATTATAACCATTAATCTGAGTCAGCTTTTTTTTCTTTTTTTTTTTTTTTGCCTAGGTGGACAATTGGGTTGTTTTTTATTTATTCGCTTTCTTCTTCTCGATGCAAAACTTCTCACTGTGAAAAATTTAGGGGTTTAGGGTTTACAATGTGTTTTGATTTATGCCAAATTCCTCAGATGTAGCTTGAAGGAGGATCAAATTACTGCTTCCAATCGTAAATCGGTTGCTCCACCGTCGTTGAAGATTCCAGGAACTCAGGTCATTCTCCACCAAGCTCTCTCTCGATTCCATTTTCGAATTGCTTCGATGTTCTATATTTTCGAAGATCCGTTCAGATCAGATGTTTAATTGAATCGATTTGGTATGTGATTGATAACGAATAGGAAGAATTAAATCTCAATCGTAGTCATTCTGTGTTTAGGTGCTGTCTAATGGATCGATTTTGTTTGAGTAATCATTCGAGGTTATTTCTACTCTGTTTTCTATGATAACTTAAATACATTTTGTTTTAGAGATTATGTCAAATCCAGATTTGATGAACATGGCAACTGAGAGTATGAACAACATGAGATTTTCCTTTTTTTTTTTTTTGTTTTGTTTATAAGAATTATTGTGCACAGTCAATGCAGCTTTAACTTTATTCAATTTGATTTCATTGGTATGAATCAGGATAGCAGAGCTCAAGGACGAGGAAGGATTGCTCGTATTCACAGGAGACTACTTGTCATTGAAACTGAAAAGAGAATTATGCAATATCAGAGCTATATTGAAGAAGGACGTGTAAGATTTCCATTATCTTCCTTTTTTACTTTATTTTGAATCATTATTAATTTACGAATGGGTCTTTTGAGAAATCCTGTGAAAAAGTTCTTGGTCGTTTCTTGATTTCTTGATGCTGTTACAGGATAAGGATGCAGAAACCGTATTTGGTTTGCTAATATACAGCCTTGAACGTTTGTATCGGGTTGTCGAGAAACCTGCAAGAGCAACCGACGACTGGGATTTGTAAGTTTTTTTACTCTGATACCATCAAACTTTTAGCTGAAAACAATGATCAAACTGAGGCTGCCAATAGTTTTCAGTTTATCATAAGTCTTTTATTTGTGAAAGTGGTTATATGTGTGTTTCAACTGACTGATGTGTTTCTACAAACAGAGTGAAACAAGATCTTATTGAGTTAGGAAGGCCACAGCATCAAACATCATACAAGCTAATGGTAACTTATTTTATGAAAATAGAAGCCTGCTGCAGATTCACGCTCCATTGCTGGACAACAGTGCTCTTTCGATCAAACGTAGCAAGAACAGTGGAGAGTTATTACTGATCGAATTCTCTGCCTGAACTTTAGAAATAAAGAGAAACTAAGATTTGTTACACACAACATCAGATTTAAAACCAGAGAGAGACTTGACATGGTAAAACTGGAAAAACAAAACAGATAAAACGGCGGAGAAAGAAAGGTTTTAGCTCATTATTTCCTCAATTAAAGATAGGCATCGCATTAGAAATTCGGGCCGATAAAATTTGGGTTAAGTACTTATTTTTGTAATATTTTATCCCAAATCAAGTATTTTATAATTTAGTCCAAGAGTTAATTTAAAAAATAGATAGGCGGCATAGGCCAAGTGTAAATTAACCATCGTTGTAGGAGTGGTTAAAGCATACCTGTGTGATCAAGTTTCGATAAGACCAGGGATGTTCATTGTTTCCACTTGGTGTGATGCATGGTAATACAAATTAAACATTTCTCATGTTTCACTTTACAAATGTTATTTTTTCACTAAAACTAATAAATTTAAATTATCTTCTTTACTAATTAAATAAGTGACGGCAAAAAATGATTAAACAAATATATATTTTTTTACAGAAATTAAATTTAATCTGGTTTTAATTTGGTCACAAATAGAAATTTACTCAAATATTAATCAAGTAATCCAACAGTATCCTAAATTTAAAAACAAAAATTACACCAAAAGTAAATTAACCAAATAACCCAAAAGATAATTAAATAATCCAAAATTATCTTTAAATAACATAAATATGCAAAAATACAAATAATTATGAGTACTAGGATTATTATAAAAAAACAATTTACAAAACATATACTAATCATTCAAGTCTATTCAAGTACCATATTTTAACAGCTCAGGTACATTAGAGTCCGACTACTTTTTTTTTTGAACCAAACTTGTTTTCATTTCACTAGAATAGAAACCAAGTACAAAGATAGGAACATGAGATCCCAAAGTTTAAGATACAATAAGAAAATGCATTCCCCAAAGCCAACATAAAATAGATAAAAAGATAGATAAGGTTAATCGATAATGATTCCTTGAGAGCTTTGAGCCAAAAGCTATGAAACTTTTTGGTACATGTGAGGTCAAAGATTATCGACAAGTCTTCCAAGAGCGAGTCAATGGAGGACCGAATTGCCATTGTCGAGAGACGAACTGGCGTTAGTGAAGGAGCCAAAGTCATGGTTCTTGCCGGCACGAGAACGACTACACAAGGTAGAGTCCGACTACTTTTAAAAGAACTGTTACAACCCATTCAAGTTATTCGCTCATTCCGAATCAGTTGTTCAAATCCGTGTTTTGAGCCCAAGGTGAATTAAAAAGGCGATGAGTCTTCACAATTACGTTATGTTTTTTGAGGTCTATCAAAAAACAAAAAATCACATTAACGAGTTTCGACGTAATTAAAAGGTTTTCAAAAATCCATATTTTAATAACTTATTAATACAATATTTACTGGTTACTGTTAACGGTTCAACGTGACAAAAAAAAACAAAAAAAAAAACAGTCCCACGGTGTAGCGCGGGTTCCAACCTAGTATAGAGTAATGATACTATTTAGCTGATTGCCATCCTCCTTCTCGGCTATAAGAGTAGATGAAGAGCTTTTCACGATGTCTCATTATCTTCTCTGCTGATGTCGCTATGTATGTCAAGTAATCTGTCATTATCTTCTCACGAAACTCCTTCTTACAAGTAAGATTAAAGTACCTGAAACAGAAACATCCACAAACCTACACTGTATAAGTAACAAAACAAGACTAAGATTACAAACAACGAGAAGAGAAAGAAACAGATTTGTACCGTTTCTCGAAGGGATAACTCTTAAGCTCAACACAATGTAGAGTCCACTCAAGATGAATCCCTTCAAACTCATCAACGATCTTTGTGTTGACAGGGATTCCAAGATTTGGCTCAGCCTCCGGATTCTTGAGATCACTCGAACCCACGAGGAGTTGTCCGGTGGAGAGTCCGGCAAGACGCATCTTAAAGTAAACTTCGGCCGCACGGAAAGTCTGATTATCGCAAAACCCCCATTTGTGCTCGATCACAAGGGTGAAACTTGCTGACAATAAGAGGTGAACAAGTCTACAACTTTCACATTGATGTAATCTCTGATTGGCTTAGGCACAATCTCGTTGATGATTCTACGGAGAATCATAGAGATTGCTGATAAAGATGTGTAGAGGGCGAAAACTGTGGATACAGAAGGGACTTGGTTAAAGAGAGAAGCCATAGTTTAAGCAACAAGGAAGATGATGATGAAGAGCTTTGGTAAACAAGTGTGTGTGAGAGAGTATGTGCTTATTTGGGGTTTACAAAGAGTTTGGAGGGTGGTGATGAACATGACAGCTTGTAAATATTTAACATTTAATTGCTTAATCAAGAAAAAAAGAAAGAAAAAAGAAAGATTGGATTTTCAGATGAAATGTGTTAATCTTTCTGTAAATATATATGTCTTTTTTGTTGTTGACATCCTGTAAATATATTTATTTAATATTTAATATTAACTATTAGGATATACATAATAAATGAAAGTCATCCTACCAAAAAAAAAAAAAAATGAAAGTCATATATAGTCTATTTCCAAAAGTGTCACATACTGTAATTAAAAAAACAAATACAAATCAAATTAAACTAAAAAGTTAATGATATATGTATTGTCTTTCACAAAAAAAAATGAAATAATAAAAATAAAACATAAGGAATAATGCAAGAAAAAATGGAATAAAGATTATAAGTGTTAAAAAGAATACTAAAACATATATATAATCTAATTTTAATTGTTTGTATTAATTTCAACACTATACATCATTTGAGAGTAACATAAAATATTATGCATGGATAGCATATATCTAACATAGATTCTGGTTCGGTTTGGATATTTAGGTTATTAGTAATTTAGTATTCAAAGTATCCCATTAATTTTATATAAATAGTTTTGGTAGTTAAATTAAATTTTAATGAAATATTACTTTTAGGTTTTGGTTTTCTTTTTTCCTTTCTTGGTTAGTTTCAAATTGAGATTCG